AAATTAACAAAAAATAAATTACAAAATCAGTGTGAAAATATTGCAATAATCAATTAAAATGTCAAACCAGCCAATTGTTTCAATTATGCATTTTTGAGTGTAACCTAACCCCCCCCCCCCCCTCTTGAGAGAACAAGAGAGTTGCTGTGGGCCTCCATTATCCCTTTTGATCTTTTGATAAGTGGCAATGCACCATATAATTTTCCTGTCAAATGGCAGACAAAATTCTTGTCAATGCAAGGGCAGAGCTCTGGCACTCTATGGGCTGACCAGTATATGCCTATGCATCCTGTTAAGCCTTTGATAAGATGCAATGCAACCCAATGCACCCTACTTTATTATTATTCTGTCTAATGGCAGACAATTTTATTTGTGAAGGGGAGAGTGCTGAATGAGTTATTCCTTTAATTAAGTGGCATGCACCCTGATGCACCCTACTTTAGTATTTTACTCTGTCTAACACCAGACAATTTTACTCGTCAAGTGGAGAGTGCTTCCCCTCAACGGGTTAAGTGGAATATTCTACTAATTGCTTCAAACAAATTAAAGGTGATTCCCCTTTGTGGCATAAAATTTAACCAGAGCATTCTTCTTCAAGTTTTCAACACATAGTCTCAGGATTTTTCTTGGCATCTGGAAAAGTGTAATAGAATGCATCCAATCAGTCATGTACTATATTATCTACATAATTCAATCTACATGCTATTGAACATTATTATTTTTTCCTTTCAAATATTAAAACATGTTATTTCAGACATAGTCATAGAAGTGTTGTGAAATAGTCATCCCCACATATTCGTCAAGAAAAATTCATTTTATTAACTATTTGCTGGCCTTTTTATATATGAACTATAAACTTTACTTGTACAACTATCTATTGAGCCTCCTATGTTATAATGTTAGCCATGAAAAAAGATTAAAATTGTCTATTAAAATCACAACTCAAAATTGTAGTGTGAGCCTTGCAAGCTTTTATTCAACACTTGAGAGACAGAGACACTACAGAGATCCTTGTTAGGAACAGTTTTGATCTTTTTTGTGCCCATCACAACCATATATTGGGCCTCCTATGACAATATATTAAAACCCTAGGATAAGCTGGAACTATTGACACCATTTGGACTTGACACTTGTCCATCATTTTAAGGCATTTCTGTTACAATACTGTATGTGAAAATTGATGTTGGATCTTTGGGTAAGGACTCCAGAGAAAAACAAAAACTATGACCTGCCCAAATGGCAAAATAAAACACAAAGAAAAGTGATAAAGGCAGAAAAACGCCAGCTGCTGTACAGCGTCGTTAATATATTTGTAAATTTCGTATCCATTTTTTTCTTTTAAAAAACGGTATTTAGTACAAATGAAGTACAGAAAAAGAGTTTCATACATCTTACCGGTAAAAAGAAGTGTTTCTTCTTGATATTAAAGAATTGTGGCATCATGAAGCCATGCAAAAACTCGGCATTTTTTCTTGATGTTTTTTATATAAACTTTCAGCAGAGTTTCAGCTTTTTTTTTGCAAAAACCAGGGGGGTGAAATCGTCGTCTGAAGCCAAGGATCGCGGTTGGTCAGTGGTAATTACCACGAGGATTTGGGACCAGTGGCGTCATTCTGGCGTCAGCAGACGTGAAAATTCGCCATGTTTTTGGCGACACTGTTTCATGCCGAGCACTTCCTCCAGATATATTATAGCTCAGTGGATTAGATGTTGTAGTAGTAGATTGACCAGGACTAAAGACTGAGTGGAAGAAGGAGTGCAGTAGGCTAGCCTTGTCACTGTCAGTAATAAAAGATTGAGTTCTTTGTATGTTTGCATGGCGATAAAATATATTTGTTTTCGCTGGAATGGTATAGCCTACTTTTAAACCTGCAGGTATAAAGGTATACCATTCCAGCGAAAACAAATTGTTTCGAGCTCTTTGCACACATAAGGACAACGTAAATGAATCTCAGAAACCTGGTGTGTACCGCATTCCTTGTGAGTGTGGTCTGCTTTACATTGGTGAAACTGGTCGAAATCTCTCAGTAAGTCTTAAGGAACACAAGACGAATTGCGAGAAAGCCGAGCAAGATAAATCTGCTGTGGCTAAACATGCTTGGACTTACGACCATCGTATAAAATGGGACGAAGCAACCATTTTGGCGATTGATAGTCATAAGTTCTCTCGCAAAATGAGAGAGTCAATTGAAATCGAGAAGCACAATACAATAGACCAGGAGGAAAGCCACTAGATAGTACGTGGTGTGCTCTCTTTAATGTGCAAAATTAATTCTCCATGTCTTGGATGCGCGCGCGTTAATTGGAATCACTTCACTACGTTTGAAATGACGTGGTTGATGTGCCGTTTAATTAAATTTCAAATGACGCGAGCCAACAGATCACGACACTTTTGTATATAAAAAGAGCCTGTGAATTAAACAAGTCACATATTATTAGCACTGATGAAGATCCGGGCTTACAGATCGAAACCTTTGCAGTAATAAATTTACGTGGTGTT